CGCAGGTTGTGCACGAGCGTCAGCTCCTCAGGAGAGACCTGGTGGAGATTTCTGTGTCAGTGTTGCATTGCCAGCAGCCTCAAATTCCCCTCCCCTCCTTCCCCAGCCTGGCAGGATCATTTCTGTCCTCCAGGCACCTTTTTAGCTTTGCTTTCCCTCAAAGCGAGCCTGAGCCATGCACTGAGCACCAGGCAGGCACCAACAACACCCACCTGCACTTCTGCCTCAGGGAGAGAAGGAAAAACTCAGGAAAATTGTCTGAAGCACAATGTGAACCTTTCAGGCCCCTCCAGAGCCTGAACACTTTCAGGGATTGCCACAGAACTAAAATTAAACAGCAGGAATCCCCCAGGGCAGAGCTCTGGGGAATGATGCCTCAGGATTTTAGCTTTTATAATTTTAAAACATCATATATATAATTTTTAAATATATTCATAATTTTAAAATATTATGTAAATAAATTTATATTTTATAAATTTTCTATATCTGTAATCCTGCAATTCTTTGGTGTATAACTCTAAACTCCATGTACAGTGTTAGCTCCAGCTCTCCCATTTTGGGCAGACACAAAATTCCTCTCCAGCCCTGGCAATCAAGGGCACCTCAGTGCCTCAGGCCTTGAGAAATGTAAAATAAAAGTGAGTTGGGGGGAGCAAATTTGGGGTCAATTATTTCATTACCTGGAGCTGCANTCCATCCAGATCCAGCCTTTTCCTGCTCTCCATCCCAATCCACCCAGATCCAACCTTTCCCTGCTCTCCATCCCAGTCCATCCAGATCCAACCTTTTCCTGCTCTCCATCCCAGTCCATCCAGATCCAGCCTTTTCCTGCTCTCCATCCCAGTCCATCCAGATCCAGCCTTTCCCTGCTCTCCATCCAGATCCAACCTTTTCCTGCTCTCCAGTCCACCCAGATCCAGCCTTTCCCTGCTCTCCATCCAGATCCAACCTTTCCCTGTTCTCCATCCCAGTCCATCCAGATCCAACCTTTTCCCGCTCTCCATCCCAATCCACCCAGATCCAACCTTTTCCTGCTCTCCAGTCCATGCAGATCCAGCCTTTCCCCGCTCTCCATCCCAGTCCACCCAGATCCAGCCTTTCCCTGCTCTCCATCCCAATCCATCCAGATCCAACCTTTTCCCGCTCTCCAGCCCAACCCTCCCTGACACAGCTCCAGGCACTCCCTTGGGTCCTGTCCTGCTCACAGAAGTCAGAGCTGCCCCTCTGGAGGAGCTGCAGATCCCTGGGATCTCCTTTCGGGCTCCTCTTTTCCAGCTGGACAGAAACGCCCTCAGGTGCTCCTCATCCTCACGTCCCTCCTTGGGTCACCCTCAGCAGCCCCAGACCTTTCCCAGACTGTGGTGCCCAAACTGCCCCAGCCCAGGGCACTCAGGGCACTGCTGTGTGTGTGTGTGTGACCCCCAGAGACCCTCAGCACTGTCCCCTTGAACAGAACCAGCTCACCAAACAATTTTTTTGTTTGTTTCCCAATGTGAAGAGGGGGAAAAACCCCAAAGAGGCCGTGACTGACCTTGCCCAGCAGCTCCTGGGGAGTGTAGGCTGAGCTGGGCTTGAAGAGAGAGCCAGTCTGGCTCAGGGTGGTCACAATGGCACCTCCACTCTGGAAAGCAGAGCAGAAATGAAAATCCTGTCAGCTGCAAACTCACTGCTGGTTTAGGATCAACCCCTGAGGCATCGTTTTATGGCAGGATGGAGCTGCTGG